TATATATATATATATTAACATTTAGAGCTATAAATGTCCTTCTAAGTATTGCTGTAGCTGTATCCTATACATTTTGGTATGTTGTATTTTCATTTTCACTCATCTCAAAGTATTTCCTAATTTTTCTTATGATTTCTTCTGTGACCTATTTGTTATTTATGAACATACTATTTAATTTTCACATATTTGTGAATTTCCTAAATTTGCTTCTGTTGTTGATTTCAGAAACATACACTGTATGATTTTAATCCTTTAATTGTCACTTGCTTTGTGGCCCAACATCTGATCTATCCTGGAGAATGCTTCATGCATACTTGAGAAGAAATAGATAACACATTTTGTCAGGAACTCTACATTAAAATCACTCATTTTGTCCCATCACAGACTCACCTTTGTACCCCAAGCAGCTGCTCCTCAGTGTAAGTGGAACTCCCCTCACCCTGCCGGGTTTGGTTCCACTCATTCTCAGACTTCTTTTCCTTTTGCATTTTCATGCAGTTACAGCAACCACAGGGGTCATGACTTTCAGAAGGTCTATCTTCTGGGTATTTGTTTCTTCTAACTGCATCAATGTAAGCTGCAAAGCAATAGCCCCTCCATTAGGTCTCATTCTGATCTGCAATCAACTTTGCTACCTGCCCTAACTATCAGGGAGGCTGCCTGTAGGCATGAGTGTGAGGGCCAAACCTCTGAATCATAGTGACTTTTAAGCATCCATATAAAACTGAACAAACATCTTCCTTGAGAAGACAATATAGTAAATATGAAAGCAACCATGAAAAACATACAATGCCAGAAACATGAAGCATAATAACGTCCACAGCAAATATTCAGCAAATATTTTGAATCCGAGCCAGAAAAGGGGCATAAGAGGCGTGTGCTCAATAGCTTGCCTTTCAGGAGGTGTCTGCCCAATACTCTGCCTTTAGTGCAGTGCAGGAGAAGCCTATTTTTCTGTGATCCACAGTCAGAAGTGACACTACTCATAAAATAGTTTTTTGTTGTTGCAATGCCTCCTACCAGTAAGATTTAAAGTAGGGTGAGTTCAGTCCTATTATTATTATTATTATTATTATTATTATTATTTAAGTTTTATTTATTTCAGCAACCTCTACAGCCCACATGGGGCTTGAACTCAGAACCTGAGATCAAGAGTCACACACAGGGGCACCTGGGTGGCTCAGACAGTTAAGTGTTTGACTTCAGCTCAGGTCATAATCTCATGGTTCATGAGTGTGAGCCCTGTGTGGGGCTCTGTGCTGACAGCTCAGAGCCTGGAGCCTGCTTTGGATTCTGTGTCTCCCTCTCTCTCTGCCCCTCACCTGCTCATGCTTTGTCTCTCTCTACCTCTCAAAAAATAAATAAACATTAAAAAAAAAAAAATACAGTCACACATTCTTCGACTGAGTCAGCCAGGCCCTCCTCAGTTCTTTTAAACTAACATCTATAGAATAAGACACTTGGTAGGTAGATCAAGGAGATGTACAGATAAGACTTACTTCTGACCACAAAGAGGTTATAGTTTGAAGGGAAAAGTTTCAATTAACACCTGAGAGGATGTAAAAAAAGGCCATAGCAATCCAGTCAAAGAAGGCAGATCTGGGAAAGGCTTTAAAACATCTCTCCTGCCGAAAATCCCTTAGTGACTACCCAAGGGACTGCCCTTCCCCCAAATTTCATATCATAGTCCCAGCCTACCTTTCCAGCCTCTTCCCTCACAACATGCTTGCTCCTTTACAGTCTATGCTCTAGCCAGATCAAACACCTTTCAGATCAGCAATGCTTTCTCTTTCCTCTGTGCCTTGTACATACTGTTCCCTCTGCCTGCAACATTCTTCCTCTAAGTCAGCCTAACTCCAACCCATCCTTCATGCCATCATATATAACACTTTCTCCATAAGGCCTCCGCTGACACCCAAGCTGTCAGTGTGCTTCTCAAACCTACGATCTTGCTGTATAGCCCAGGACTTAGTGGCTCTGTTTTATAATTGTCTGTTTACCTGTCATACTCCCTCAGTGGACTCAGAGTTCTGTGATCTCAGGGGCCCAAATCGATGTCAAATCCCTGATGCACAATCAGCATAATGCTGGGCACATAATAGGTATTGAATCAACACTCTTTGCTTGACTGCAGGATGGAAAAGGTCAGCCTACGGGTCCTGATGCGGGCTGCAGGGACAGGACCAAACGGAGAGGGAGAGTCAGGCGGCCTAGTTTGGCGGCGAGGATAAGGGCCTGAAAAGCAAGTCCGGGCGGAGGGGGTCCTCATCACTCTGCTAACCTTCTGGACACCTAAGCACGGACGGGGCCCAACCACCGTGGGCCCTAGGTTGGGCACTAGCGGAGGCGGGGCTGGGGGCCGGAGGCAAAAATGTCATCACGGGTGACTCTGGGCTCCTGGACGGTGCCTTTGCTTGAGTCAGCGCTCCTGATTTCCAGATCTCAGCCCCTGCCCTGGGGGTCCCCCGCCTAATTCGGAATACTACTCAGGCTCAGCATCTTATCATAGGCCTCCATCCCTTACCTCAGGCCCAAGAACTTAGCCCTCAGGCATCTTAAGGAGCCTCATCCCTCTCCTGAACTTTGCCTTGTCCCACCCTCCGGCAAGGACCTGGTACCTTCTGTCCAGCGCTCCCCGCTGCCCAGAGTCGCAGCCATATCGGTCCCCAATCAGCAGGTCGGCCGAGCCTCCCCGGCGCCCGAGGCTGAAAGGGACGGGGCAAGAAGCGCGGGGCATTCTGGTCATTGTAGTCCAACTCATAGGAGCTGCGGTACATTGGACTACAACTCCCGGCAGGCTCTGCGCGAGGGGCCAGCAGAATTGTAGCTGTACGAGGGGCTTGGTCTTTGGAAGTGAGGTTTGTGGTGCTTTGTTGCTGCTGGTTGGCTGATGGGCTACTCGGACCACACTTTGCTTCTGTGGAGTGGGGATAATGGCTTCGGCCTCGCCTAACACTGGGGACATTCAAGGAGGCGCGATGAGATCCTGCCTGGGAAAGATGCTGCAAACTAGTCTAGGGGTTGATAGTATGACTATTCATCTCAGGGATGTCTTTTAAAAATATACGCTAATGCCTGTTCTCTGCAAATTGTGTTAGGTCCTGGAGATTGAGAGACAAGTTTTGGGGATGCGAATCCAATCCTGATAATTTAAGAGCCAAGAAAATAGAAAAGTGAGGTCGATTTACGTAGTTAGAGAGCAGTCTGGATACACCCCTTTTCGTCCATCTGCTCTAGCACAGCATCATTAGAGGGACCTCTAGGTCCCTCTAGGGGCAGGGACAGAGAAAGAAGAAAAGGGCAGGCACTGGAGCCGGCGTTAAATCCCCTATCTTTGCTCTTCCTTATCCTTCACCCATCCCATCCTACTCCAGGGCACCGCTGAGACTTTTCTCCTCTGTTCCACCCCAGTCATTTCCTTGGCCATTCCTTTCTCTTCAGAAAACCTTGGAAATTAGTAAAAGACAAGTGAAATATTCCTGCCTTTTCCCACTCAGGTCTGCATGGGGACCACCAGCAAAGAATAAAAGCAGTTCTCAGTGTTATTACAGACTCAATGCCTGCAGCTGAGTTGGGATGGCTAAAGATCAGGTTTCAAACGTGAAATGTGATCATATACATCCACAAACAAAAAATTACTTAGAATTCATTGAGATCTTACCAGGAAGACCAAAACAGTGTGCCAACTATGATTTCAAGCAGCAGCTATTTAGGAGGTTGGGGCGGGACAGGGAGATGAACAGCCTGAGACACAAACTGATAAGGTAAAATCCTCCAGTCCTATGGAGTTCTCTGCATTCCGTGCAGTCAGCTGTGGCCTTGGGGTGGATGAGATCAGTGTGCTCACAGAAGGGTGGGTCCTAAAGAAGCCACTTGTGTTCTGCAGACAAGGGACCTGATCAGGGATATACATTAGGTGGTTGAATGTAAAAAGGTTATTTATTTGGTTTTGGGAAATTAAACAGACTGCTCTAAAATATGGACAGGGGAAGGTAGGGTATGCCTCTGAGTCCGGGGGCACAGGGCTAAGGTCTGGTGGTACTGAGAGATGTCAGAGTACTATGAAGTTAGAGGTATCTGGTTGGGAGTGGGGGTGCTAGAGCCCTGTAGGGAGTAATTGGATTGAGAATTATGGGCCTACTTAGGTGTAGAGTCCAGGATCAAGAATGCTGGACAAGATTTAGAAAGCTGCAGTTTTGTGGAAGTGTTTGATACCTCAACAACCTTTCTCATTATTCTCTAAAACCTCACTTCCCACTCCTTTTCTAGACAACTGACTTAGTCCTAGATCAGTAAAAAATGACTCAGCATGGCAACCTTCTCAGATATTGCCATGCAGATGTACCCATTATCTCATTTATACCTCAATTAACACTTCTGGATGAATCTTTCTATGACTGTAGCACTAGGACTAACTTAGAACTCCAAACCTCAACATTTAGAACACTTCTGTGCCAACTTTGGCTGAAGCACACCAACCACTCAACAAAATAATTCCCATTATCAAATTCAGTCTCTGGTAAAAAAGGAAGCTATGGGCTCAGAAGGTTCAGGATGGTGGTGCTTGGGGAAAGTAACCAGCAGGAAGAGTGAGGAAGCAACTGGGAAGGAAATAAGAGAAGAGAAATTGGGATCTCTAAGGCAGTTCTCAAGGAGGACAACGTAAGTGTAGAAAGAAATTCAAAGAAGTGATAACGGACACCCACAAATCCAGAGGGAGACTGCTGAGCAGAGCCACACAATGATTTCCAACAGATTCAAGTAGAATTGAGTAGCAGTAACCTGGCTTGGGGGAATTGTGTGCATGAAGTAGGCCAAGAGGCCTGCGATGATCCTTTTCTGCTAAACTATTTTATGTAGGGCTGGCCTCAGATATCTATCAATTTTCTCTACTTACTTTTAGAAATATTTGTTGAACTGTAGTGAATTTTTGGTGGTGATACTGAGGTTTGCCTTGTGCCCTATATGATTGAGATGCTGCCCCATCTAGCCCTGGAAGAAAGATACTGAGTAAATGATCCCTCTGTCCAACTGGGCCTGTGTGCCTGAGTTGATTTGTCAGTTGCCCTCCCATAAGATGGGGGAAGAAGCAAAAGAAAGACACCCATCCCACCACCTGTTTCTGCTTTGAGCCCTTCTAATCCTATGTTAGAATAGGGAGGAAGCTATCTTGTAAATGGCCACCATCCTGTTGTCTAGACATCAAGGAAGAGATACTGTCTTAGGGAAGCTGCAGGGGCTGCAGGAGGCTGCGCTCAGATTTCCTGTCAGAGGTGGGGTCTTGTATTTGCATAAATAGTAGGATCCTCCAGCAGAACTCCCTCTAATATAGTTTGCTAGAGAACAGGATTCAGCATTAAGTGAATTCATCCTTGACACCTTCTCAAAAGATAGCTATTTAGCAACAGGAAAATCAACATGGCTAATGTATGACGGCAATGTCGGTTTCAGAGTAAAAGCCATGCAATCTCATATTAATACCAGTTCACCTCCTCTCCCCCAGATATAAATACCTTATGACTAACAGCTCATATTTGCAGGACATTGTCCAGAGTCAGGGGGAAGTTTGTGGCCTTAGAATGGAGACATCAACTGAGTTACCTAGAGTGAAACTCATGTTCTTGACCTAATTAGTCCAGTATGATAAGCAGCTGAATTAAGTGTCCATGGCAGGCAGAATAACAATAACTGTTCCAACAGAATCCAATACTTCTAGACATTGTTATGTCATCAGGAGCGTTCTATCTCAATGATGGAGTTTTTTTGTACCGGATCTGACTAGGAAGTCATGTGCTTTTTGCAGTGTGGCTTGAATAAATATATCTGAGCTATATTTTTAATGCTGTAGGATTGCTGTTATAGGTTGGAAATAGGCTTTAAGACTCTGAGATTTGAATGCTGAAGGTTTACTGGTGATTGCTCTCGGGAAGAAGAGCTGTGAGAAGTGAGGGAAGCAGGGTTGGGCAAAGGAGAAAATTGAGGGAAGAGGTTCACATCCTCCTGCCACCCCCACCAACCAGTCATCAACCAGCTATGAGCCCCTGGCAGCCAACACTCTTAACAGCTGCAAAAAAAGTGCCCTGATCTTGAAATGGGACCGGGATGGTGTTACTCCACATTGTCTGCTGCAGTTGCCGAGTATTTTTACTTCCCAAGTATCTCCACATTTACTCTTCCAATTTACCTACCAAGTAGCTACCAAGGGCCAGGTAGGGATCGTTCTTCCCTTAATACACAGGGAAATCTAAGTTCGGAGAATGTAGAAGACTTGATCAGACTCCCCTAAGACTTGTCTCTGGTTTTCACCCAGAATGATCTCTACTCAAAAGATTGTGTTCATTTTTTCTTACATCTAGACTGTGTAATATGAGGAGCAGAAAAGATAGTGAAGGCCAAATAGTCCAGCCACCTTGTTTTAAAAGTAAGAAAACAGGCTGGGAAATGGGGAGTGATTGTGCCAAGTCAAGTTGCAAGTATGTTTGCACAGCCCAGCCTGGATTTCCTGCACTCAAGAGCCAGTTTTTATGCCCTCCAATGTGTTGGGCCCGGTGTGCCAAACAGGAACTATAGATGTGAGTAGATTTCAAGCCTTGTCCTAGAAGATTTTAGAGTCCAATAGATTTTTCAGTCCACTTGAATCGTTGCAATGAAACAGAGTGAAACGTTTTCTTCTAGGCTTTCTCTCTCATATCAGTTTGCAGAGTCTAAATCCAGAAGAAAATAGCATATTGTTGCTTCTCTTTGTTTTGTGAATTGCCAGCTAGCAGATATTTAGAAAGTTAACCACTCAGAGGCACCTGGGTGACTCAGTCAGGTAAGTGGGTAAGTGTCCAGCTCTTGATAACTGCTCAGGTTGTGATCTCACAATCGAGCCCCACACTGGGCTCTGTGCTGAGCAGAGCCTGCTTGGGCTTCTCTTTCTCCCACTTTCTCTTTGCCTCCCCTGTGCATGCACATGCTCTCTCTCTTTCTCTCAAAATAAATAAATAAGCTTGAAAAGAAAGTTAACCACTCTGTTCAGACATACACAGATGAGTCTTCCATTGAATTTCCCTAACCAAGACACATTTCCAAACCAGGACATGGTAGAGGTTACTAAGGAAATAGGTAACTGCTTCCTCTTCCTTCTTCCCTTTAAAAGACTTTACAGTGTTTGTTACCCTTTATTTTATTTCTAGGACACAAAGATAATAGGGTAAAGTGGGTGCATTTTGGCTTATGAAGTCACAGACCTATCCTAGTTGCAAACCTCACCCATGTTATTCCCACAGCTTAGGACCGATGTAAGGCATGTCCACCCTGGGGCAGGCAGAGGACATTTGCCCTCATATTATTCAGCTCTCACTACTGGAGTTTCCTAGTCAGAATGCACTGTGCCTCTCATGTTCTCGCCCTCCAGGTTCAAAACTTCTTTCCTGGTAATGATTGGTCACTGCTTACAGCTCCCTTTCTCTCCCCTGTATTGAAGTGATTAGTTAGTCACCTCATTCCTACTTAATAATCCAGGTGAACTGTGGGGGACAGCTGGTTGGCTCAGTGGATAGAGTACATGACTCTTAATCTCAGGGTCATGAGTTTGAGCCCCACGTTGAGTGTGGGGTCTACTTAAAATAAAAATAAAAATAATAGTAATAATAATAATCCAGATAAATGGAGGTGGACCTTAGAAAATGTTCTGTCCACCGCCCAGGTTTCTCAAAGAGCTCCTTACAGGGGCAGAAACTTGGATACATGCCTTGCCCAGGAAAAGAGGCCCCAAAGCTGCTAGAACCCTGTTAACAAACACACATGAGAGCATAGACCTTCAAAGAAATTAGACTGCAGGCCAGAAAATAACTTTAATTCAAAGTAGCAAGGACCACTCCTCTTCGTCATTTTCCTTGCTCTTGCTATACAGACTCCTCCTTCCTGTGACTGCGAGCAGGTGGGAGGAGCAGGCTGTGTTTCTAGAATGGCTGCCCATATGGGAGTCTCTCCTATTGGTAGCTTGCTCCTAGATCTGGAGGAATGCTAGTATCCTTTAGATCTTGAAGTGTGAAATAATAAAATAATTTATGTGTGATTCATTGCCTCTACCAATCCCATCGCCTTCCTCTTTACGGTCACAGGGCAGCTGCGTCATCTTTGGACCCATGAGGACCCAACGTTGCTTCTATAGAACCTGCAAAATAAATAGAGTATGAAAAAGGGGGACCTTGTCGGGAGTGGCAGCCTAGGGAAGAAGAGAGAGGAGCCTGGGTCTTTGAAAGTATCTCCTTTCTGGCTAAGGAACTAGAGCCTGAGGGTAAGAGAAGGAGGAGAAGGGAGGAAGGAACCAGGAAAAATGTACCTTCTCTGCTGTGTGGCATCCTTTGCTGTTATTCATGTTGATATTCTTCATGGAGATCAGGGTGATGCTTTCTTTCTCCCCATTGGCTGTAGAGCAGCTAGGGGTAAGAAGGAACATGGGTTGTAAGTGGAGGAGCAGGAGGGCAATGTGGTGGTCAAAGAACTGTGGGGTCAAGCATTGGAACTTTGAACATTGTTTCTATAAACCTCTATTTTGGTGGTGGAACATAATGAAATGGGAGTGTGCTTTGAAGCCCAAAACACCTGTATATAAATCTTAGTTTTGGGGGTGCCTGTGTGGCTCAGTCAGTTAAGCATCTGGCTTTTGATTTCAGCTCATGTCATGATCTCACAGTTTGTGAGTTCAAGCCCCACATCGGGCTCCTCGCTGACAACACGGAGCCTGCCTGGGATTGTCTCCCTCTCTCTCTGCCCCTCCCCTGCTCTGCTCTCTCTTTCTCTCTTTCTTTCTCTCTCTCAAAATAAATAAACTTAAGCAAAATCTTAGTTTTACTACTTACAACTTGTATGATCTTGACCAAGTTACAAATTCTTCAAGTCTCAACGTTTTTAAACATACAAAACACAGTATATCCTCTTTGAAGAATCGCTGTAAGGATTTGAGATAATATTATAAAATATCTACCAGAGTGCCTGGCCCATATAAGGTGTTCAGTAAGTGGCTCCTTAAATAAAGTGTTTTCTAGTTTATTTATTTATTTTTAAATGTTTATTTACTTTTGAGAGAGAGAGAGAAAGCACAAGCAGGGGAGGGGCAGAAAGAGAGAGAGAGAGAGAGGGAGGAAGACACATAATCTAAAGTAGGCTCCAGGCTCTGAGCTGTCAGCAGAGAGCCCAACTCAGGGCCCAAACCCATGAATCGTGAGATTATGATGTGAGCCGAAGTTGCATGCTTAACCGACTGAGCCACTCAGGCACCCCCTAAGTGCTTTCTTATTTGAATAGGTTTATTAGAATCTGAATTCCTATACTTTTCCTGAGGGGGTTATATAGGGGGTTATAGAGCCCTGGGGCTGAAGAGTTCCAGTTCATTTCCTGTCACCCGATTGTTTTATTTTAGGGTTGCCCCTGTCCTGCCCGCCCCTAGCCCTGGCCTCAGTGCAAGCTGTCAAGATTCCATGCGTGCTTATGCGTGTGTGTAAGAAGAAGTCAGGAAGTATCAGTTCTCTCTCAGAATGGGGGACTGAGAGGTCAAATGAATGATTCCTCCCTTCCACCTCTGACAGTCTTACCTTTCAGATAACCCTGAACTCCCAGGTTTCTGGGGATCTGTAAAAAATCCAAAGGCACAGATTGGGAGTCACATGCTGCAACCCAGAAGACCAGCCTGTCCTTCAAAGCCCACCCAAGTGGATTACCCTCCCATTTCATTAGCGATGCCTATGTGCCATTCTTTTCCTCTACTACAGGCTCAGTGTCCATCCCAAAATGTAGCTCTGGGTCCCTCAGCTGAGGGGAAAGTGGGGCCCTGAGTGGCAGGGCATGTACCTTCAGACTCCTTGTTCTTCCGACACTTAAACCTTAGACTGACCACACTCACTAGGATGATCACCACAACCACCAGGATGACAATGAAGCTGATAACACCTGAACAGGGAAAAGGACAGGGTAAAGGAGAGTCAGAGGAGGGGCCAGAAGGGGGTGATAGGAGTACAAATCCCCTTCCCGGCTAAGTGCTGTGTAGGTAGGCTCTGAGAGAAAAGTGAATTCCCCTTCTCTGCCTAACGAATGAGCTCTTAGCCAGCTGATCCTGGCCAGAGTGAGCCCCACAGCCTGGCCTCAGCCTCTCCTAAGAACATGGAACTCAACAGAGCCCCAAAGAGCTGCCTGGAGGGAGGGCCAGGGGAGGCTCTTTCCCACCAGGGCCTTCTTCATCAGCCAAACCCTCCTGGAACAAATAGGTGAGATTTCAATTTGTGTTTCTAGATCCAGAGTCCAAGTCAGTACAGGAACTGCCACTCTCTGCACCTTCTCCTCCCTCTTACCAAATGCGGCCACAGTGAGCACCGTCTCTGATGTGGGGGTGGGTAAGATGGTCGAGTCATCTCTTGTCCTCAGGCTCATGGTGGTTGATGTGGGAATAACATCTTGAGAAGTGTCTAAAATGGAGTGGGGATGGGTGTATCAGTGAAGGGACTGGCATAGCCTACCAGAGAGAGAGTTAGCTCCCCTCCCACTTCCCCAGGTAAAGAATTGCAGAAACAGGTCATGCCCTCCCAAAAAGACTTCCTCCTTGCTACTCAGACTAGTTCTCAGGAGGATGGAGGTCAGAACTGGGTGATGTGGGTTCGGGTGAACTGCACTGCTGGTTGCTCATGTTACTAGTTCCAGGGGACTCTAGGCTTCCCCTGTTATTCTTTTCCCACCATCCCCTCAGGGCCCATTTATGTTCCAGAGACAGGAAGCCAAAATGGGCAAGGTAGAGCCCTCTGTGTTTTGCCAAGGGTTGAAGTGGGAGGAAAAAACACACTAGATATTTATCCCTACGCACTAATGCAACAAACCGGGCAAAGGGCACAAGTTTCTGGCCCTCTTCAAAGGTAGTACGATCACCCATATCTTCCCCCTTGTCAGCTCCTTTTTTTTAAAGATTTTATTTTATTTTTATTTTTAATGTTTTATTTATTTTTGAGAGAGAGAGAGAGAGAGCGTGCATGCACATGAGTGGGGGAGGGGCAGAGAGAGAGAGGTGGACAGAGGATCCAAAGGCGGCTCTGCGCTAACAGCAGTGAGCCCAATGCAGGGCTCAAACTCACAAACCATGAGATCATGACCTGAGCTGAAGTCGGACTCCCAACTGACTGAGCCACCCAGGCACCTCTAAAAGATTTTATTTTTAAATAATCTCTGTACCCAATGTGGGGTTTAAACTCATAACCCTGACATCAAGAGTCTGAAGCTCCACCAGTGGAGCCAGCCAGGTGCCCCCCCCCCCCCCCCCCCCCCCCCCCCCCCGTCTTCCACTCATTGTACTGCAGGTCTGATAGCTATTCCATTTCCTTATCCACACACTCACTGCCAAATAAGTTTGTGAGTGTAAAATAATCCCAGAGCCAAGGGTTAGGATGACAGAAAGGGTCAGAATGCTCTTCACTGAGAGCGTGGACAGGACATACTGCTACTGCTTGGGACACCTGGGTCCGTGCCATGACACAGCAGGGCCAGGACAGAGGCGTCCACTCTCTCCCAGCTCTTCCTCCACACTGCGGTGTGAACCCAGAAGCATGTAGCCCTTGTCCAATCTCTTCTGCCTCCATTTCCATCATTTTGAGTTCTACCCATCTCTTTCCCCTCCATGGCTTTATCAGTCCTGAGTCCAGGCTCCTTTTATCTTCATTGTGATCAGGTCCAAGGCTCTGTCTCTACTTCCCACCAAACCTCTCTCATTCCCAAACCAGGCTGCCACTCATGTGGATCCTGGCCCAGAGACGCCTCCTCGAGGGGCAGAACCTGGGCCTCCTGAAAAGGGGGAGAAGGACCCCAACCAGTCATGACCCAGTGCTTTTCACCCCCGGCCCCAAGTACTCACCAAGTCTTGATGTGTACTTCTGTGGCTGAGACTGAGTCAGGCCCAACAGAGACTGGGAGTGACCATCCACGGTGCTCGTGCTCTGTGTCCTGGGTTTACTGGCTGCATCGAGGACCTGTGAGGGCTTCTCCAGAGCTGCCGTAGATAAGGAAGCATTTGTGGACCTGCTCAGGGCCTTGGCCAGCGTGTACACAGAGGGCCCTCTTTAGTCCAAAATTCTCATTTTCTTTACTGCTTTCAATTCCAGAAGGAGCCATCCTCTCTTCTACCTTGGCCTTTACCTGTACAGTTCCCACTGCCTGGAATATACCTTAGCACTGTCTACCTCACAATCTTCCTCTGGTTAACTCCCTCTTGGGCCTCAGCTTCTGAGGACACTGTAGCATGTCTTTCCTGGCTCCCAAGGAAAGGTTGGGAAAGGCTCCCAACCTGGCTCCCAAGGAAAGGCTTCCAAGGTTGATATTTGTCCGGGCTCTTGCAGCAACTTCTTTTTTTTTTTTTTTTAATGTTTTATTTATTTTTGAAGGAGAGAGAGAGACAGAGTGTGAGTGGGGGAGGGACAGAGAGAGAGGGACACACAGAATCTGAAGCAGGCTCTGGGCTCTGAGCTGTCAGCACAGAGCCTGATGAAGGGCTGGAACTCATGAACTGTGAGACTATGACCTGAGCTGAAGTCAGACTGTTAACCGACTGAGCCATTCAGGTGCCCTTCTTGCAGCACCTTCTCCTTCTGCTCATCACAGCCCTTCCTACCCTGCTTTGTGGTTGTCAACATGAGATCCTGTTTACTTGTCTGCTCCTCTACTAGTCTGATCCCTCACTGGGCCCTCCCTGGAGGGCATCTGGATCTGAGCGGCAGAGTACCTGAGGTCTCAGTGCTGGCCAGAGGGCTTGGGCTGCTGGGCTCTGAGGAAGGGCTGTCTCCTGAAAGGACAGAGGCAGTGGGAGGTGGAGGGGGGCAGGTTTGGTGACACCACACTCCCTCACTTATTTAAGAACCCTTGAGTTCCAAGCAGGTCTGAAGGGCTGGGCAGGGGGTTAGGCAGGGGGGAAGGACTGGCCCCTCGGCAGCCACACTTACTCACCTGTGCTGGAAGAAAGTGGCTCTGTGGTCAGACTTTGACTGCTGAAGGCTCCTGAAATAAATCATCTGAGGCTGAGGGTCGCTGCCTCCTATTGCTCTGTCTCTCTCTCTTCTTCCCTGTAACTGGAGTTTTCTAGTCTTTCTCCTTGCCGCACCCCTGACCCCCATCCATTCATTTCCCTCCTCTTTCAAGGCACATGTGACTAGGCCATGCTCAAATACATCCAGAGATGAACTCAGCCTTGGATGTCCCGAGAGCCCTGGCCCCAGCTCTAATCACCTGAGATCTGTGCTCCTCTCGCCCTTCCTAAGCTGCCAGGCCTAAATGCCAGAGCAGGCCCTGTGTGTTTGGTCTTACCCTGAAGGCTAGATGTCTGTATTGTCATGGGTTGGGAATGGTGGCCTGCAAGAGAAAGCAAAAAACACTTTGACTAGCTTGGTGAGTCTCTTGCCCAGTGCAGAGCCCACAGAAGAACCCAGGCTTTCCAAGCCTCCCATGCTGGAAGGCAGACACACTTGGCAGAGGGCTGAAGAATGTGGCTCTGGCTCACAGTGCTGGTTTCCTCTAACCACGACTCAATAGCACCATCACCACCACCTTGTGGTTCAGTGTCCCAGAGTCCTTTCCATCTCTTTAATCCCGTGTGGGTTTTATACCAACCTGACATGAGGTCAGGTGAAGGTTATTTCAAACTAGTGATTTGTCCAAGGACAGAGGGCCAGTGGCCTGCTACATCTAGAAAAGGACCTAGGACTCCAGGTCTGTAGGCTGACGTTCCTGCTACGCTACCACTTAGCCATACATTTTCCCCGTGCATACTGTCATCTTGGTCCTGCTCCAAGGGAAGGGGATGGAAAGATGGGGTGAATAAAATGAGGCTAGGGGCTGGGGTAGGTATCTCCAGCTGGAGGTAGGGGTCCACACAGCAAGTAAGTTCTGAGGTATAGATAGGAGCCAGGGAAGCTCTGAACAAGCAGCCAATTTTACCCTCACAGGCAGAGGCTACTTCAGAAATGGCCATTGTTGGCCAAACCCAGGAAGAAGCTAGTTACCAGGAGGCCCCAGTCGGAAGCCATCATTGGCTTTTTTTTTTTTTTAATGTACATGTGTATGTCTGTGGGCCTCCGTGTAGATGTGTATGTGTGCTTGTGTGCCCATATGTGCATCCCCTTTGTGTGTGGGACCTGAGAGGTCAAGTTGTGTTTGCTCATTTTCCACAGTGAAATCATTCTTGAAACCTGTGAACAATGTGAAAGGAAAACAACGTGGGGAAGTGGAGCCGCCCAGCTGGGTTCCCGTCCCTCTGCTCCTGCTGGGACTGTAGCCTCTGGCCTGGCCCTCGGGCTCCCAGGCCCCTCATCCACAGGGAAGCTCCATGCCTGGGCCTGGGTGAACAGATGCAGCTGGGGGCCAGGGCCCGCACAGCCTGTGGTGGCTTGCTGAACTGTTTATTTTCCTTAGCCACTGCCTCCCTCCATGGGGCTATCACTCGGACAGTGTGGAATTAATCGTTTCCAAGCCCAAGCTTGCCCAAACCCTGACTGTATTTTTCCAGGGCACCAGTCTCTGGTAGCCCCACCTGCTCACTGGGTGGGGTGTCAGAGGGGTATTAAAACTCGTAGGTGTCCGAGGCTAGAGAGAACTCTTCCCAGCTGAAAATGACCCTGGAAGAACCCTTTCAAGTCACATCTTAAAAACACCTATCAGTTACTGATCAAGCATATCTAAGGTACCATCTAAGTCCTATAAAGTTATAACATTAGCTTTTAGTGGGTGGACACTGTGCAGTGCCTTCCCGCATATCTGGAAGCAAAACTAGCATCTTGGAAGGAGTTCCAAAGTCACAAGCTCCAAGTTCCAGTAGCCTGTGTTCTCTGTCTTCTGGCCCTGACCCCCTACCAGAACTTTCCATCACCAATAGATTCCTCTGTGTGAAGAGGAACTTCAGCCACATCTGTTTCTACAGGCCATGGTGCCTCTGACCACTGGGCAGAATAACCCCGGCCACATAAATTTCTTATTTTCCCGTATCCCCTCCCTAATCCCTACCTGCTTCACGACCTTCTAGCCTCTTCTTCCTCCCCCTCCACCATCCTCCTCCCCTGTTTTCCTCAGCAGCATAATGTAATAGTTGAAAATCACGGCTTTTGAGTCTGACAGGTTTGAGTTCAAGTCCTGACTCTACCACGTACTGTCTGACCAGGTTCTCAGTCTTCTCTTCTTTAACGTGCAAATGAATTTCATACCTCAAAAGTGGTTGTTAGGACAAGAAAACTCAAATGCTAGACTTTTTAAGTTTTTGCCCCATTCTTTCCAACCCTCCAAGTCTCTGTGGATCCAAGTCAGGTCACCTTGTGGGCCTGTATATCCTCAAAAGGATTCTTCAAGGGAGGCAGTAGGTATGCTGTGATCTTGGGATGAGAGATAAGGAAACTCAGGAAGCAAGTGTGGTTTATGTAGAGTTTACACAGGGCATTCTCAGCCCTGCCACCTGCCATTTGCCTGGGACAGTGTCCCCTCATGAATCTTGCCTTTTAATCTCCTCCTCTGCCATTTCTGCAGTTGCTACAATAAGCCTGGTGCCCCTGCCCCAGATCAAGCGTGGGACTCTGCCCACCCCCAGGAGACAGAGTACCAGAACTCAGTCCCCCCTCACCCCCCACCAAGAAAGGGCCATCCTCTCTCCCCATCTAAGCACTTTGCACTCTTTTCTGCTACTCTGAGGGCAGACTCCTAAGTCTTCAACAGAGGCCTCATGGAGAGTGAGTTGGGGGTGGGGAAGGGATGACCAAAGGGAAGTTGCTGCCCTGTGAGTCAGAATCTCCTGGATTTCTCATGGTTCCCAGCAACTGCTCCTTAACTAGAACCCCCCTTATGAGCTGCTTTACCATTCGTCAGCTAGCAGAATCGGGTCTCAGAGGTATTTCCATTCATCTCCTCTGGAGGGCATCTCATCCAGCCCCCTGGCCGAGGATGTTGTATACATCCTCTTTGGCAAATAGTTCTTTGTATCTATCCTGCATCCCTCTTGCTGTGACTTGAGCTTAAAGTCAACATTTGGAATTCCCAGGTTGTTACTCCTCATGTAAAAGAAGAAAAAGGATCCCCTGTAAAGCCCAAGGTGTAGACAGTTTTGTGCTAGAATACTCTGGAAGGAGCTTCCGGCCTCAGTCTCACATCAAGACAGTCAATTCCCACATTTCAGGAGGCCAGCCTCTATGGGGGCTCCAGTTCACCCTGGAAATTTTCCCACAAAAGGATTTAACCACATGTCTACTTTACCTTTGCCTGGTAATGACCCCTCCCCCCCCC